TCACCATGTTGGCCAGGCTGGTCTTGAACTCCTGACCTCAAGTGATCTGCCTGCCTCAGCCTCCCAAAGTGCTGGGATTACAGGTGTGAGCCACCACAGCCAGCCCACCAAGCATGTTTGAGTCTTTGTCAGGTGCCCGACTGGACACTGGAGAAGAGGAGAAGGAGAACAGGCTTTGCGATGTGGCCGTAACAGTGACCACCTGGAATGGTCACTAGTGAGATACTAACACTTCATTCCGAAGGGTGGCCAGGTGTTGCCTGGTGAATACTGTGGGCCTCTGCTATTTTCCCTCAGGGGCGGGACACAGCTCAGAGGGCGTTCTATCCGGGCTGGGTGCCTGGTGGACACAGCCCTCAGTCTTTGCCCCTCGCAGGTGATGTGCCTTTTGAGAGGCACCAGGTGGCTGCTCACATTATGCAAGCTCATTACCTTAAAGCGCTCCCTCATTTGGAAACACTACCATGAAAAAGTGAAATGTTGTTCACAATCCACTCTTACTAATTTCAGAATCTTCAAGGCAGGGCACCGTGGCTCACCCCTGTAATCCCAGCACTTTGGGAGCCTAGGCAGACAAGATTGACAACATAGATCTCATCTCTATTTAAATTAAAAAGGAAAGAAAGAAAAGGAAAAAAAAGTCATTTTTAATTAAAAAAATGTTCAACATTATATTCATAAATAAGAAGAGCTGTTAGATTTTTTAACATGAACTGTTGTAAATTTCAGCATGTAAAAAATGGTTTACAAATTGTATTACCGGCTGGGCACAGTAGCTCACGCCTGTAATCCTAGCACTTTGGGAAGCCGAGACAGGTGGATTGCTTGGGGCCAGGAGTTCAAAATCAGCCTGGCCAACATGGTGAAACCCTGTCTCTACTAAAAATACAAAAAATTAGCTGGGCGTGGTGGTGGGTGCCTGTAATCCCAGCTACTTGGGAGGCTGAGGCAGGAGAATCGCTTGAACCTGGGAGGCAGAGGTTTCAGTGAGCCAAGATCGCACCATGCACTCCAGCCTGCGCAATAAGAGCGAAACTCTGTCTCAAAAAAAAAAAAAAAAAAATTGTATTACCTACTCAAGCAAAATTTCTCTCTCTCTCTCCCTCTCTTTCAGACAAGGTATTACTCTATCACCCAGGCTAGAGTGCAGTGGCATGATCATGGTTCACTGCAGCCTCCACCTCCTGGGCCCAAGTGATCCCAAATAGCTGGGACTACAGGTGCACACTACCCCACGTGGCTAATTTTTTTTTTTTTTTTTTTGTATTTTTTGTAGACAAGGTTTTGCCATGTTGCCCAAGCTGGTCTCAAACCCCTGGGCTCAAGTGATGCACCTGCCTCTGCCTCCCAAAGTGCTGGGATTACAGGTGGGAGCCACAGCGCCCAGCTGCAAAGTTTCTTGCTGATAAAGACTATTAAGAATTTTGAACTTTCTTTTTCTTGAGCAGAGCTCAATGGAATATGAAAATTAAAAAAAAGAACAAAACCAACCGGGTGCGGTGGCTCATGTCTGTAACGCCAGCACTTTGGGAGGCCGAGGTGGGAGGATCATCTGAGGCTAGGAGTTCATGACCAGCCTAACCAACATGGCAAAACCCTGTCTTTACCAAAAATACAAAACATTAGCCAGGTGCAGTGGTGCGCACCTGTAATCCCAGCTACTCAGGAGGCTGAGGCAGGAGAATCACTTGAATCCAGGAGGCGGGGGCTGCAGTGAGCCGAGATCACGCCATTGCACTCCAGCCTAGGAAACAAGAGTGAAACTCCATTTCAAAAAAAAAAAAAAGTTTTTAAAATATAAAATTAAAAAAAAATTTAATTACAAAAAATTTTTGACCTTTTTTCCCTGAAATATGTCACATAAAGTGATCAAAACAGATGTGACAACAAAGGCAACCTCCTAGTCACCACCACCAGGTCAGGAAGTGTAGCGCCCTGTGATGTATTTGCAGGGTTCTCCAATTGCAATTGCATGTGTAAAACCCGTCTTCTCCGTACCAAGTCAAGTTGTTCAGTATGAATGTTAAAGAAAGATTTTTAAACTTTTATTTTAAAAAAGTATTTTCCTTTATAACTTTTTAAAAATAACATTTTAACCCAGGTCCCCTGCATGCCCTGCACTCGCATGCCAAAAGCTGGTCCCTGGGTCTCAGACGACCACAGTCCAGCGGGTGGCTGACTCGCCCCAGTCATCAGCCCCCGGTGGGTCAGAGCAGCGTCGTTCTTAAGCGGGGACAGACCCGTGTTTACAAGATTCTCAGTGCTTGGCTGATATAACAGCGGCATCAGCCTTCCTTGGGGAGAATGACGACTGTATGTTTTTACCCTCTTGTTAAAAATGCTGATTTAATTTTCAAGCTGCTTTTCTCTCTTTCCCTTCTTTTTTCCTCCCCTTCCTCCTCCTTCTTCTTCGTTTATTTTTAGAGCCAGGGTCTCACTCTGTCGCCCAGGCTGGAGTGCGGTGGCCTGACCATGGGTCACTGCAGCCTCGACCTCCCGGACTCAAGCTATCCTCCTACTTCAGCCTCCTGAGTACCTGGGACTACAGACAAGCGCCACTACGCCTGGCTGATTTTTTAAAAAGTTTTTTTTGTAGAGACGGTCTAACTATGTTGCCCAGTCTGGTCTCGAACTCCTGGGCTCAAAAGATCCCGCCACCTTGGCCTCCCAAAGTATTGGGATTGCTGGTGTGAGTCCCCGCGCCAGGTTTCTTCTCTTTCTTGTGGGTTTCACGCAAAAAAACCCGAGACCCTGAAGCTGCGCTGCTCTCCTGCCTCCAGGGAAAACGGGAGTTTTTTCTGCTCCTTTGCTCTCCCTCTTTTTTGTTTGCTTATTTGTTTTTAGTATTTTTAGCATGTTTTGGAAACATTTCGTTTCAATGAGTGTTTAAAAAGCAGCTCCCCCGCCCCGCGCTCCGGGCGGGCGCCT